GGACAAACAGAGCCATTCGACGTCAATCAACTTATTAGGTTGTTAGCTCCGACAAATAGTACTCGTTCCCTTGTTCTCCTCATCTCGGGCGAACGAAGTTAACTGTTGGACTTCAGTTCACCGTTTGTGAACTAGAAAACTGAACTGACCTGAAAATCCACTGAAAATGTGTTCTTCCTCTTATATGCAAACGAGGTGAGATGGACCAAGTGGTTGGAGCGCGAATTTACCGACCGGAAGGTCCGTGGTTCGAACCCGACCTCTGCTGCCTCTCGACTTCCCCTGCCTAGGCTTGGGCAACCTGGCAGCATGCCAGCCCTCGTGCCTCCTTCGCGTGGCACGGCAGCTAGGCGCCGAAAGGGTGCTACAACGCTGAACGGTTTCTGCAAACGAGGGTAGGTAGCTTATTCGCCCGCGGAATTCAACAGATATCTCGTATAGTATTTTACCGGGGCCCTTACCCGAGGGTTTGCTGCCACCCGACGAACCCTTACAGCGTGTAATTTTGAGTTGCTCGCTTCCGAAAGCAATAAACAACGCTGTTGGAGATTTGACCGAAAACCGGTCAACAAAGTGAACTTTGTGTGCTGTTGTCATAAAGTCACCTTTCCTGGGATTTCAGACCCGATAATGCCTTTATTTCCCGTTTCTTGAAGCTTGTCTACTAATCAAATGAAGACACGTCGGTTCCTCGGTGTGCCCAGCTGCACGTGACCTCGGATAGTTCGGTGGATGTCCAAACCATACATTGTCTCGGCTTAAAAGTGCATTTCGCAATTTGAGAAAAAGTGCATTTTGGAGGTCGTGTAAATCCGTCTGGAACTCATTGGTGATACATACGGTAGATATCCTTCGGCGGGTCCCAAGAACGATTTTTTCAAGCGGGACCATGTGACAATGTTTAAGTAGACCTTTGGTGTGACAAGTTACGGCTATTGTGTGGAATTTCGTCTGAACGCACACCATCTTCAAGTTTAGATGCAATTATCAAAAAACAGTGTAATATATTTAAGGGGTTGCCTCAACCCTAACATGGTCTGATTACGCGATAGTGTGGTTTACTTGTCCAACATCATCGTCATTGTCAGCTGTAATAACCGCGTACTCGTCGTACAGTGGTTGTAGCTGCCACAGTTTCGTTCACCGATGATTTGGGGGAGAGGGATAGGTAGCTGCGCATTGCACGCGCGAGCTGGTAAATTGGTGCATAAATCCAGCACTGTCACTGGACTGTCAACTGGGGGGTCGGGAAAGGAGCTATGCATTGAAAGCAATAGCTTTGATGCACGAGCGCCATTGAGGGCGCGACTGGGCCATGTCTGATAATGTTTCTAACCGTTGATGTGGCCCGTCTCGGGGTCCCCATCCAGGAAGACGGCAGTGACCAGTGCAGCTGAGTTTGCTGGTAATGGCTTCCATACTTCGCTGCCAAGTCATTGTTCGACCGCCTCTGGCTCTCTCCCACCCTTCGCATGGTTGTGCGAAAAGAGCCCTTCGATGAATTCGGTCGACTGGCATACGCAGCACGTGGCCAAGCCAGCGCAACCTATGCAATGTGATCAGTTCATCTATCGAGGGTGAGTTATTTCTCCCGAATACCACTCGACGTACTTCAGGATTGCTGATCCGATGTTCCCACCAGATTCGGGCAATGCTCCGAAGACATCGATGGTCAAACACTGAAAGTCTTTTGAC